CCCAAGTGGGTGCTACCAGGTCTGCTTCCTTAAGCTGGCTGGGAGCTGCTCCCAGGCAAGGGCTGCCCAGGAGGAACAGTGCAATTGTTCAGCAGAGGGTCCTCTGACTCCTTGTTTTCCCAGAGGCCACTGCCCCTGCTGGATCGGGACAGTTCTTCCGGTTCCCCAGGGCCAAAGTGAAGCCAATCAAGGGGCAGGCGTTGGGCCTCAAAAGTGTTGAGGTGTGGGTCGGGAGATGTTTTGCAAAATTGCCTGCTACACAAGCATGAAGATGTGAGCTGTAATGGAGGCAGCTCCATGGAGGCAGGCTTGTAATCCTAGCGCTGAGCAAGCTGTGGGCAGGCAGATCCCTGGGGCTTGGTGACTGGTGAGCCAAACCTGCTTGGTGAGCTCCAGGCAAGTGAGAGACCTTGTCTGAACAAAGCACCTGAGGAACAACATCTGAGGTTGACCTCTTGCCCTCATCCCCACCCCAAGAAGTGCTCAGCATCTTGGTCTTTGCCCCCAAGGTCAAGGAGAGTGTCTCCAGACAAACCTGTCCAGGGTTCTCACCTCACTATGGCCAGAGCCAGCCAGCCTAAGGTTTGGCCCCTTTTACCTACAGCAGGAGGCTAGCCTCAGACCCTATCCGGCTCACCCCCAGCTAGTGGTTCCTTGTTTGTGCCCTTGGGAGGCTGTTGCTCTGTCTCTTAATAGCCACTTGCTGTCAGAAAATGGAGCCCAGCTTCTCCTGTCTGTCTGGCACTAGGCACCAGCCTTTATGGCCCTGCCACCTTAGGCTGCTGGGTGTCTAAAATCACAGACTGTCCCAAGCAGCTGTTCACTTTCCAAGAAGACCTTTGTCCCGTTGAGTGTCACTGAAGTTCCAGGTGCCTGGCAGGTCTCAGGAGCACTGTGGAAGTCAAGTTCGGTTAGTAGCTAAGCCCTTCAGGCCGGGATATCACATGCCTGTGTGGTGACAGGACTAGACCTGCAGCCAGCTCTGCCCCTGACGTGGCTTCTCTTCTTCTGTGATTCTTCCCGAGCTACAGCTCAGGGACAAGACAGACCCTTGGAAAACAGAGATGGCACATTCTAGTCCCCACCCTTGGCTCCTGCCCTGCTCTGCCTGCCCCAGCTGGAGATGTGACTTCTATGGAAACATCTGTCTTTTGAGAAAAGCCAGGAGCTGACTTCTCAGCCCAGAAGGAGTAGGGAGTGGGCAGTATTCCCAGAGGCCTCTGTCTACCTCTGCCTGACAGATGCTGGGTGGGAGACCTGGACCAGCCATCAGGAAAGCCATGAATTGTGTGCTGAGTGCCTGGCAGACACATGGACACCTCCTGGTTGTTAAAGCCAGTCATCCGGGGAAGTGATTTGAGTATGTGATAGGAAGTGCTCCATGGATGTATGTGCCCCGTTAAGGATGGTGACCTTGATGCAGGGAAAACTTGTTCTGAGGAAGCTCAAATTCTGTGTTGAGGGACTGTAGGGTTTGTGGGAAGGGGTCAGGGAAGGCCAAGCTTAGTCCAGGGGAATCAAGTCCTTGTGTCCACTCACAAGGGTGTGGTGAGTCAGTGACTTGACCAAAGAAGCAAGAGCTGGGATTTCTCTCTGGAACACCTTCTTTCACACCAGTCTCTACTCAGGGCTTCCTTTTTGTTTTTCAAGATGTTTTTCTGTGCAGTCCTGGCTGTATTGGAACTCGCTCTGTAGTCCAGGCTGGCCTCTAACTCATCCGATACCTGCCTCCCTAGTACTGAGATTAAAGGCGTGTGCCACCATTGCCTGGCTGCCCTTATTTTCTTATGCATGTGTGTGTGCGTATGAGGGTAGGAGTTCATGAGCACATGGCGCACAGATATATGGGTGCCAGAAGTCACCTGAGTTCCAGAAGCGTTGCTCTTTAAACCTTATGTATTTATTTTGTGTAAGTATATGCAGTTCTGTGCACGGACAGAGGCTGGTGTGCAGGGTGCCCAGCTTGTTATATGGTGCTGGGTCTAAGTTCTTGTCCTCATGACTGTGGGTCAAGCCCTATCTCTGCATGTCCCCCCTACCCCTCACACACACTTAATGACATAGTTTCCCATTGGCTCACTGTCTCAGGCCAGGGCTGGAGTTTGTGTCCTTTTTGCCTGAGGTGATGGCAAAGGAAGAAAAGGGACAGAAGATGGAGAGGGGCTAAACACTGGGAAGAGAGCATGGGTAGATTACCAGGTCGGACTCAGAGCAGCCCTAAAACTGACTGATCTCTATAAACTCATTGATGGATTTGAGGCACACAGAGGAGTGATCGTACTAGTTCCACTGTTGGCTTCATCACTAGGGGATAGTCAAGGTAGAAGGCCCCTGACAGACTGCCACAGGTACCACAGCCCGTCACACCCATCCTATCAAACTGTCTTGTTTTTCAGGACCCCGTCTGTCAAAGAGAGCAGTTTCGTGGAAAAGATGAAGAAAACGGTGAGATTCCTGTTTCTGCTCTTAGTAGAGTGAGCTTGGCCCTGGTGGGCACCAAGGGGACCTGTCAAGGAGGGCTGAGGGCTGTTGGAACTGAGCAGGCCCGAGTGATAAGGGTGTCGTCATCTTACACAGCACAAGGAGCTCTGCTTTGACTTTCTTGGATAAACTAAAATGTAAAAACAGACCTCCCTTTATTATCAAAGTTTACAGTTTGAGTCCTTTCCCCAGAACCCACATAAAAAGCCAGACAGGGTAGCATATGCTTCTAATTCCCAAAGCTCCCTTGTACAAGCATAGCCTAATTGGTGAGGTCCGCACCAGTTAGAAGCCTTGCTCAAAACTAAATAGTGATGGCACCTGAGGAACGAGACACACACACACACACACACACACACACACACACACAAGGTACATTGGAAGCCAGGTATGATGATATACACCTTTAATCTTAGCAGTAACAAAGCTGAAGCAGGAAAACCAAAAGTTAAGGCCAACCTGGGCTACACCTTGTCTAAAATTTTTAAAAAGAGGGCCAGAGATGGCTCAATGATAACAATGCTTACTGCTTTTGCACAGGACCTGGTTTAATTCCCAGCACCCACATGGTGGCTCATAACTGTCTGTAATTTCAGTTCTAGATCAGATACCTCTGCCCTCCAGTGGCTCCAGAATATACATGATGCACACATACATACACATAAGATAAAAATAAATATATTTTTTTAAATTGAAAAGAATGAAGGATAGATGTAGTCTATTTTATATATTGTGTAGACATACATGTATGCACACACACACATGTATATATAGTTTTGTTTCTTGAGACAGGGTTTCTCTGTGTGGCCCTGGCTGTCCTGGAACTCACTCTGTAGACCAGAACTCAAATCCACCTGCCTCTGCCTCCCAAGTGCTAGGAGTAAAGACATGCGCCACCACTGCCTGCCTTATCTTTAGTTATCTGTATGGGGAGGGTTGTGCCCAGGAAGGAGTGTGGGTGTCCCACTAAGGCCACAGGTCATTCAGTCCCTGGATCTGGAATTCCAGGTCACATGAGCCACTTGATGTGGGTGCAGGGCACTGCACTTGGGTCCTCTGCAAGAGCAGCCAGTGCGCTTACCTCCCAAGCCATCTCTCCAGCTTCTGCCTCACTGTCATATAAGAGACTTGAGCGACTGCAGATTTTGGTACCCTGTGCATGGTTGGAGATCGTGCCCTCACCCCCCCCCCACAAATGCCAAAGGATCACATCCACTGTTTGTTATTTTTATTGATATGTACGTAAGGTCTGCTATCCATATTTCTCCAGTCACCTTCCCTTTTTATACTCAATATTAGGTTGTGGTTTTTCTGGTATTAGAGTATGGTCTTAAGTGATATGTATGAGATCACTCTGATGACGCCAGCTGGACTCCTTGGGGAATGTCTGTCCTCTGCCATCAGAGCACCTGCGACAGCTAGATATCAGCCCAAGTGACTCAGATAAGAACTGAGGCCAGGAGAGAGGGCTCCCCTTGCCAGTCCTGCACTGTGTGTGTGTGTCCTGGGCCCCTTACTCACCCATGTGTCTGCCTCCTCCCTCAGGGAAGGAACATTATTGTATTCTATGGCTCCCAGACGGGAACTGCTGAGGAGTTTGCCAACCGGCTGTCCAAGGATGCCCACCGCTATGGGATGCGGGGCATGTCTGCAGACCCCGAAGAGTATGACTTGGTGAGACCCCCTCATATGCTGCCCTGTGCTCCACCCTGCTGCTCAAGTGTGAGGGACCCTAGGATGCCCCTTCCCTGTCTGTGGGGTCATCTCAAAGAGCTCTAAGCCACCTTATGTTGAGGCTCTTAATAACTTGTGATTAAAGCTGAGGGAAGAGGGGAGATAGAACCAGGGAGGGGTCGAGAGGTTGAGGGAGGCCATAGTTAGGGGCAATGGAGTCCCTCCTCATATCCATTAGCCACCCTGCCTACACTGTTCCTCTTAAGCCTGTGTAGGGTATGATAGATCTCAACCATGTTCTTAACAGCTAGGACAGGAGCACTGTTGCCCCTCACTGTCTGCCAACTCACCAGGCTCATTCTCCTGGCACTGCCTGCCTCCATTCCCTTACATGGGGTGGCTCTATAAAGTACACAAAACTGTATCAGCCACCGGTAGAAGGGAGGGAGCAGGTGGCTCAGGAATTGCCATATTCATCAGTGACACCCCACACACAACTGAAGAGTCATCCCTGTGAGGGGCACCTTCTCTCAGCCCCTTCCCCGTGCCCACTCCTTCCCTTCCACCCACTTCCGTCTCCAGCCGTGGGGGTCTTCCATCTCCAGCCTTCCTTTTAAATGTATTAGAAACGCATGAGGGACTGCCTGGACCAAGGTCTTCCCACCTGACACTCTGTTCATCAGCTATGGGCTCAGGCCACAGTGATGATACCCCTGTCTCTCTAGGCTGACCTGAGCAGCTTGCCTGAGATCGACAAGTCTCTAGTAGTCTTCTGCATGGCCACGTATGGCGAGGGAGACCCCACCGACAATGCCCAAGACTTCTATGACTGGCTGCAGGAGACTGATGTGGACCTCACTGGAGTCAAGTTTGCTGTGAGTTTCCCAGAATCCTTTGGACATACACTGGCTTCTGGCAGCTCCCCAGACCTAGGATCCTCCTATGCAAGCTGCCCCATCTGTTCCTTCACCATCTTACGGGACAGAGGATCTTATCCTTACTTTAGTGAGGCTTTTGCCCTTCTAGAGCATCTCCTCCAATGTTGCCAGCTCCAATGACCCCTCAGGACATTGGTTACTGGACAAAAGGCCAAAACAATATAATTTGGCCAAACAAGGAGGACTGGAGCCTCCGGCTAAGCTCTGGTCACTTGGATTTGAGGTGTAAAAAGGCTGGTCATAAAAGGAGCCACCTATGACTGCAGGTCACCTAAGTAAAGCCATCAGTGCCCATAGTGCCAGAGGCTTCCCAAGGAGCATCACAAGGACATCAGATCCCACTGACCATAGCCTCAGAGCCTCCCCTGCTGTCCTCACAGGTGTTTGGCCTTGGGAACAAGACCTATGAACATTTCAATGCCATGGGGAAGTATGTGGACCAGCGGCTGGAGCAGCTTGGCGCCCAGCGCATCTTTGAATTGGGCCTTGGAGATGATGATGGGAAGTAAGTGTCACCCTAGTTGCACAGGTGCCAGCCTGGAGTGTTGGCCACCTTCCTTCTCCTAGCAGGGCTGTGAGCCACAGGTGTGAGAGTGGGCTGATGTCTAGCCTGGCTAAGCCTCTCCTCTCTCCAGCTTAGAAGAGGATTTCATCACATGGAGGGAGCAGTTCTGGCCAGCCGTGTGCGAGTTCTTCGGGGTGGAAGCCACTGGGGAGGAGTCGAGGTAAGTGGAAGGCTGAGGCTAGGGCCTGGGCTGGGTGGCCCTGGGGACAGAGTGAGGAAGGGTGTCAAGAGCACAGGCATAGGATCTGGGAGGTCCTTTTTCTAGGTGAAGGGGCCCCCTTCAGAGAGGGGTGCGGTCCTGTGGCATCACCAGGACACTGGCTTCCCTTCCACCTGTGCTTCGTGGCCTGCTAATCCTCTCAGGCTCTCGGGGCCAACTCCAGCCCTTCTCTTGCCTTTTGCTTCTGTTATGTCTGCTACTTCTCTATAGGGTTCCCTGTATCATGTCTTCCACTCATGTCCCCTGTGTATTTCAAGCCCTTTCTCGCCAAGGCTGACCCTGCAGCCTCCCTCCTCCCAACCCTGACCCTAGCCTTGGTTTTCCCCTCCCAGCATTCGCCAGTATGAGCTCGTGGTCCACGAAGACATTGACACTGCCAAGGTTTACACTGGCGAGATGGGCCGCCTGAAGAGCTACGAGAACCAGAAACCGTAAGTAGAGGAAGGAAAGGGGGGACTAAAAGCCCTGGGGCCCCTTGTGTACCCATATCCCAAGCAGATGTGTGTGTCCCCCAGAGTCATATGAGTGAACGCGGTGGAGACACCCACTCTCTCATGTTCACCAACTGGAAGGGCACAAGTTGCCCAAGGGACAGGTCAAACCCAGGCAAGAAGCCCCCTTCCTTTCCTTAGAATCCACATGCCATTTGGCATGTCGATCAACTGGCAGAGTGCTTACCTAACCAGTGTGAGACCCTGGGTCCCATCCCCAGCACACACAAGTTCAGCACAAGGAGTGGAGGAGGGAGGATCAAAAGTCCAGTTATCCTCAACTGTATAGCGGGTTCCAAGGCAAGCCTGGGATACATGAAAACTTGTCCAAAAAAAGTCCAAATCATGTTCTCACTTTGACACTACATACCCCTGGGTGCCGCCCAGATTATTCATGCTGGAATCCCCAGTCATCCATCACCAACTCAAGCCAGCCATCCTGCTGGGGCAGACTCTTCCATCTGCTGCTCCTAGACACACTATAGTCTCTGAATGTGAGTGTGAACGCCAAGTTCTATGCAAATATCTCACGGTGCGCCACCCCCTGGCCCAGGCTCCCCCATAGACAGAATGCAGAGGGTCTCACATGTTTCTTAGGGGCCAGCTTGTTTTCCTGTCTGTATCCCTTTGTGCTCTGCCCACTTCGTTTACTTAATGGGGCTGGGACAGCCCTTGCCATACTAAATTAGCTCCCTCATGTCCCTTGAAGGCTCAAAGTCTCCTGCCACACCAGCTCTTGCTCCCGGTGTTTACTATAAGCAGGTCCGAAGCCAATCACTGCCCTCCTTTCTTCCCATCAGCCCCTTCGATGCCAAGAATCCATTCCTGGCTGCTGTC